AATATTAAGGTTAAGAGGCTGAGCTCGTAGATGATGATAAATAACATAGTTATGTATAATATATTACATTTCTGACTGTATATCCCTGTAAGTATTACACACTGTAGCTTTAAATTTGTTTTAAATTCATGAGCGACATTTTCTGTTCAGGCTGTAAACCCGCCACCCTCCACAAGATGTCGCTCTGTATCTGTTTTAGAACAGAGACTATTGGCTGTCGACGCGTCACGTGATAACAACAGGCGGAAGTACCATATTGCGGTTGACTTTACATGTTATTACCACAGGTGGGAGTCACGTTGGGTCTATTTAAACACAATCTTACTTAAATACAACAAAACAACATTTTCGAAAAAACGTATTTCCGTTTTATTTTCAGAAATGCCGCAGAAAGACCCTTGTCAAAAGCAAGCGTGCGCCATCCAGAAGTGTCTACAAGGTACTTCGGGTGTTACGCTGTTTTAGGTTCTTTTAGGAAGATATTTGTCTAACTCCTTCCCCACCTTGCAGCTAATAAGTACCTGGAGAGTCTGTGCGAGGAGGTGATCCGAGACATGCGGAGGTGTTGTGAAGTTCATGCTGGAAACTCGGTCTGCTGCTCCGGTTTTAAGGAGCCCCAACCGGCGGAGAACAAGAGCGAAACATGACTATGAGCCATTCTCCTTGATGTGGAGTTAGAAACCTGCACTCCATCAATCTATAGGGTCTGTGTTATTCTAACGTATGCTGTGATTTAGCAGAAGAACTGTCATTGAAGTTTGGTGCACAGTATAATAAATATTTGACTTCAAACAGGCCTATTAAAAAGCTGCAGAACCAGAAGGTTGAACTGGCCCTCTGCCATTTTGCTAACACCTTGTTTGTAACGTTTAGGAACAAGCTTGTGCATGTCAGGATTAAACAAGTGAGACAGTGTTAGAATATAAACAGTCCTTCACATCTCAGCTCGACAATCATAGCATTTTTATCTCATATGCATTTATTATTCCTTCATCAAAGTCTGATATAAATACAGGTGCATCTAAATTTACTGAAGAGCCAGCAGGTCACCATGAAGTCAGTATTCTACATGGCTCTGTGTGATGTAAGAAGTAAATGCCTTGTACTTTTATAAAGATTTACATTCACTCACACATTCACATGCTGATGGTGGCATGCCACATTATACCCACAGCTACACTGGGGCAGATTGAACAAAGCCAGTCTGCTAAAAAGCCAGGGCCCTGCTAACATGTAACATGGTCAGAACATAGCATTTCTTTGTTTGAACTGTATTTGACCACTTATTACCAGTTTTGTTAAATGGAATTAATTTTAGATTTTCATTTAAATTAATTCAGGTATTTATTTATTTTTTTTACAGTTCTCATTTTCAAGAGGTCAGGATCTCAAAACAATATTTGCCATCCTTTGTCCAGCCTAACCCTGGTACTATCACAGGGCGTTTATAATATCCTTTATCATTATTGTGATACATTTTTAATTGTGATAAAATAATTTATTTTCTATCGTTTTAATTTAAATGTTTATTTTTCTGGTGGAGTGTTTTTTTTCCCCTGTGCTATTGCTGATTATTTTTCAGTGATTGGTACAGTGTTAGTCTGGGTTAATTTTTAAAGAGATCCCTCTAGTAGGTGATTTAAATTAACACTGGCTCAGATCAATTCAGTTCAGTTTATTTATATTGTGCCATTTCCCAACACATGTCATCTCAAAGCACTTTACAGAGAAACCTCAACCAGACGATACAGTCAGACTGATTCAAAGTTTTCTAAGGAAAACCAGCTGATTGCTTTGATTAAAACGTCATCCCTCATACCGTCAGCATCAGATGATCTGACGACCATGTTTTGCTTTTAGAGTTTCTCAAGTTATTGGAAGTCATATTTGTACTTGTTTTAAATATCCAAGCCAATCATCTCCAACATGCCACATAAATACTCCACAGCAGTTGTTTTTGAAAAAGATCTAAGTGAACATTGCATAGTTGGTGCAATTAGAGACAATAAAATCACTTGTTTAAACCCGTTCTTATATGAAAAAGAACGATGAAGCACTCTATTGAGCAGTCCGTCCTTCATGACTCATTAAGGTATAACTGAATTCACAAATTTCTGTTTGATGACCTTAACCTTGCCTGGGTCACTCTTTTTCTTCTTTTTTTTCCTAAACAGTTATGATTTTATTGACAAATGTGCTTTATTTTCTGTGAGCTGAGAGTGAAGGGTTGGTCCTTGGTTCATAACTAAATTAGGTTTTGCAAAGTGGGGAATCAGCTTTGGGCAACTTCGAGGACATCTGTTTTTGAAGCTGATTGGCTGCATTTCCATCAATTATGAAATAAATTTACTGTCATTAAAAAAGCAAACAGGATTATAATTTGGCTCAAACTCCAAAATGTTTAAATAACCCAAGGACATTTTGGCTAACTGTTACGACCCTCCCAGGCAACCATCATTAATCCAATTCTCCACATCCATTAGCTATGGACTGCACTGAGGTATCAGATAAATGTCTCTGGAGTCTTATTTGATGCCATGTCTGATAGTCAGCCTCTCACTTCTTCCACTAATTCCCAGCTAAACAGAAAAACATCTCGTTTTGAATATATCTGGTCAGGGAGGTTTCAAAGGAAGTGGAGGTTTTCAATCCTCATAACCTAAGAATGTGTTTTTAAAATGGTAGTTTTTTTGTTTTTGAAAGTGAGAAAACCTGCTGTAAGCTTTAATCTTAAATATAAAAAGGAATAATAACTATGTAAATTTTGAGTTCATAGTTTTGAACCAAAATCAGTTGAATGTCTTATGTTTTAATGGCATAATTTATGGACATGTATATAAAAAATGTATATATGTAACAGGAAGAATCACAGTGAATGTAAAGAAAACGGTCTGAGAAAAAAGTCCTGTATGCGAGTTTTGGTTTACTTTTGCCACATGTATCACCGCTTTAACAAATATCAGTTCAACTTACATGATCCTCATCTCTTTTAAATGGAAATAATCATATAGAAAAAGATATAATCTGTCTAATGACAATAATTGTGTATTTCTGTAATAATAATCGTTCAGTCTACCTGTTTAGCTGCCAAATGCAAATTTTGATGTCATTGCAACTAAAGTTATTTATCTGTGAGTGTAGTATTTCTCAGTTCCATTATGACTAAAATTTTAAAGAAACTATAAAACATCAAATCTAATGAAAAGCCTATAACGCTAGCCCAATAAAGGTGATCAACATATATATTAACGATAATGTTATTTTAATATACAATTAATTTGCAAACAATTTCTTCATATTTTACTACTTATGTTCTGTTCTTATGTTATTCATAAATGGTAAATTTACCATATTCATAAAATTAAACAAAGAATTGTAAAAAAAAAAAAAAAAAAAAGTAATTAAATATTTCCTTTTCCCTATAAGGCTTGTCTTTAAAATACTAATGTTTCCTCACTGTTTTATTTTCTGTGCTAGATCATGTGAATTACCAAAAATCGATTTATTCCGACTGCAACCCTGCTTTACGGCGTCGTAATCGCTCCTTGCGTCCGACGTGATGACGTAGTACGGAAACTTGAAACGAATCTTTCTAGAATTCTGTAGCTGCATCTGGCTAGTAGTTGCTGGGGAGCTCCTCCCGTTTGTTCTGGGAAGAGAAAATCATTTATTTTATAGATTCCACACAGCCTCGTATTCCTAAGTAGTGCCGCGCGTTTGGGTGTTTTGCTGCCCATTGCATTTCCACGTTAGACTTGTTTAACGCTTCCTTTTATCCGACTTAGAGGAGGCTAACTTGGTTAGCTTCGAGTTGTTTCTGGCAGGATGTCCAGGATAGACTACAGCGTGTGGGACCACATTGAGGTCTCAGATGATGAAGATGATACTCACCCAAACATTGACACACCGAGCCTCTTCAGATGGAGACACGAGGTGCGATTTAAGACGATTTAAAGATTACACAGGATAAATCTCTTTGATAAATATGCCTTGATCAAAACATTGAATCAGTTTATGTATATCAACCAGGTGTTAAGACTCAGCTTATAAATGATTGTTTGCAAACCAGAAAACGGGGATCTATGCAGGATAAAGATCCATCAGATGTTAAAACTGCTTCTTTTCAGGCTCGTGTGAACAGGATGGAGGAGTTTCAGAAGAAAGGAGAAGATATCAACAAGAGTCTGAACGACTGTCGGCGCAGGCTGGCAGAGACACAGAAGAAACTCCAGCAGCTGAGCGTTGCCTCATCAGATGATGCCAAAGCAGAGCTGAGCAAAGTCCAGGCTGAGGAAAAGAAATTAAAGAAAGAGGAAAGAGACTGGTCGAAGAAGATGGAGGAGCATCGGAGGGAGGAGAAGAAGATGCCCTGGAACGTTGATACGCTCAGCAAAGAGGGTTTTAGCAAGGTGACCCCCATCAGTCATGCTGTGGTTCCCACCAAACAGTCTAAACAATATGCCATTTCATTTGTCTTTAGTTTTAGTTAAGTTCATTAAGTGTTTGCAGTTTTTACTTTAACTTTATTGAAGTGAGAATGACATTCACTTATTTGTGCTTTATAATAACTGAAGGCTCTAATCATTGTGCCAGAGGTGAAGGTATTTCACATATCCTGGTCAAGCAAAGACTAAATAACTTGGTGGAAAGCTGGGTTTGAAATAGTGAAAAGTTCAAAGCATTAAAGGAGCTTAATGACCTGCTCTGGAATAACAATTATCTGCAGCACCCCGCTATTGTAATAGAACATAAAATACACCCTTCTTTCACTTGGCTTATAGGATCTGCCTTTTTGCTTCTTTTGACTTAATTTTAAACCCGTCATTGCTGGAAACGAAACAGCTAACTCCAAGTCAACTTCCCTCAGTAGCAACTTTCACTCTGAACAGTGTTCTTAAGGCTTGAACACCAACTTTTTAATCTCTGATCCGATTTTAGCGTATAGAGAGGCTCCAACTATGCAGGGTATAGATTTTTTTTTCACTTCTGTCTGTGCTACACACAAATTAAAATAACTTTCCACATTTGACTTGGACAAAATCTAAAAATATATTGCACATTGAAAAACACTGCCGCAGCTATAAAGCAAAGTCTCACTCAATGCAAGCATCTTAAACTACATATAAAGAAAGAGAAATAGCAGCATTATTGGCTTTGGAACAGTTTATATGCTGGCTGAGGAAGTGAGAGGTGATTCTCAAACAGAAATAGAAGATTTGTCGAGGTTTTGTATTTTTTTTTTTTTTATAAATGGAGTGAGATACGCTGCACTTATGTGTCAGTGTCTGCTCCTCATTATTTTCATCTTGGTGTGTCTCAAAGAGGATCACTTTTCTTTTGCCATATCTGTTTTCTGTCCTCCTAAAGTTTTCTTTTTCTAGGGGAGAGATAATTGTATCTCTCTTCCTGTCAGGCCCACAAAATTCCTGCTGAATTGCTGCTTAGCCTGACTGAAATAGACCTGGGATCTAGCTCAGTCGGAGCTATGCAGAATCGCGTTGGGTGTGATCCTCCTTATCGATTTTCAATGAGCTAAACTCCGCAGCCTCGTCCAACACGATTTTCTGTCCGAATCAGACGCAGAATCAGATTTGGTGTGTTCACGCCTTTGGTGTGAACGTTGGTATGATGTGTTCACTGTTAACTTTTAGGCTATGTGTACAATCTTAAACCACTGACATATTTCAAGTTAAAAGGGTAATACTTTTGAGATTAAATATGTTGCATAAAAAGTACTCTAAATTTGCAATTGTGGATCAAATATCTTCCATAATGCACCTAGTGAGAGCTTCAACTTCTGAAATGGAACCAATGTCTTGCTTTGTCCTTGACAGAGCATCGTCAATGTCAAACCTGAGGCAGGGGAAGAGACTGAAGAGGAGAAGGAGCAAAAACATAAAACCTTTGTGGAGAAGTACGAGAAGCAGATCAAACATTTCGGTAAAGCCCACCAACAAACAAACCTTTAATGTGTGTGTTTATAATTAACTCTTTATTTAAAACTGGAGATATTTATTTCTGTACTGTTTTTACTTGAGGCATGTTGCGGCGCTGGGATGACAGCCAGAAATACCTCTCTGACAACCCGCATCTTGTATGTGAAGAAACTGCTAATTACCTTGTCATCATGTGCATTGACCTTGAAGTGGAAGAGGTAAACAGTTTATTTTTTGCCCCATCTGCATTGGTTTTACAGGATTGTGTTAAATTCTTTAGCTTGATTGAAATTAAAATTTTAAATGATGTAAGTTATTTGGAATGTCACTTTGATCTTCTTCCATTTTGCCTCCAGCTGTTCCCTTTGTCCTCTGATGAAAGCATCTGTAATATTCCAAATGTACTTTCTTTGTTTTGCAGAAACATGCATTGATGGAGCAAGTGGCTCATCAGACTATAGTGATGCAGTTCATACTTGAGTTGGCAAAAAGCCTGAAAGTGGACCCCCGTGGCTGCTTCCGCCAGTTCTTTGCTAAGATTAAGGTAGGAAGATGGACTTGTTTAACCAAGACTGCTACTTTAATTGATCGGTTAAAGCAGCACTTTCAATGCTAATCTGGAGATATATTTTTTTTCTTTTTTACCCAAGAATTACAAACTTACACAACTTTGTCCCCGTATTAACATCTTTTAGGTTGTGTTTTTCATTAAAAGAGCCAGAGTGATTAGTCAGGTTCTAGAGTAGTCTTCAGGAATATTTCTTAACACTCTGTAAAGGTTTCAGTTTTCAAGTCGCTTAGCTGGACCCCAGCCCAACCGCCAGGGCCCCGCCATAAACAATCATTTGTTTTTGCATGTATAAGGATTTCTACCTAAATATAGTAACAAAGACACACAATTTACAACATATAATTATATCTTTAATCATGTAGAATTGTTACTTATTAAAGCATATATTAAAAAAAAAATCTTGATCTTGGAGCTTGATTGACACACAGAGGAAGAAAGACCAGATGAGACAAACTTATTTTTGCAAACAGCCTTATATAATCATTGCATGTAGCTCCCATATTCCTATTTATATTTATACACAACTTTTTACAGTCCCTAACTATTACTTTTTGCTTGTAGATACACCTGTAATAATATGTATATCCTGTATAGCACTTCTGGATAGATGCAAACCACATTTCGTTGCTTTGTACTCGTGACAGTGCACAAAGACAAATTTGAATTCTATTCTATAGTGAAGAGGTTACTCTGGCTTCAGAGAAGGAAAACCTCGCAGACATCCTGAAGCACAGATTACATTATTTTCTCACTCAAAATCAGATTTTAGTTCTACCTAAATTGGTTGGTAACTCTGAAGCATAAGAAATTGGCTGTCAGGTAGGTTCATTGTGTTTGTTTTTAATCCCAGATGATTCAGTCTCATTATCCAAAGTTTTGTCTGCATGATAATGGACCATTTGAACCATAATCACTTGAAAAGTTCCCGCTAGTGTCTCTGGAGGCATATTGATTTGTTTCTATGTTGGGATCCGGACAGTGGTTCTACTGCTTTTCTTTTTTGTTTTTGATTTGATTTCCTTACCTTTAATTTAATATTTGCTCGTTAACAAATATAATTTTAAATGCAAAAAAAAAAACTATTAAAAGTTCTTAACGGCTTCAAGTACAAATTATGGGCAAATTTTACTTAAATGCAGCAATGCGAGAACATTGTACATCATTCGCGATCTAATGCAGCATGTTACTACAATCGTTGATTAATCAAAGCGACTTTTTCTAAGTGTCTCTGCTCTGGGAAGAGATCTTTACTGGAGGGAGGAGGTGGGAACTGAGATATTCATAGGTGATGCTGATTGGCTGAGGAACTGCAGTGTTGGCGGGGGGTTCAGTGCTCCTTGAACAGAGAATGTCTGCTATTGCAAAGTATATTTTTAATCACATGTTTTAAAAGCGTTATTTTTCAGCCTCAACCCATTTTGTAGCCAGTGGTAGGCTGTCAACATGCAAAAATACAAAGCTCTAACACATGCAATTAGCTTTTTTTTTCTTTAATCATAAACAAACATCTACACATCACATCTACATAATTATGTTGTGACTCACTTGTCCCATCACACACACCAAAATGGCGCAGATTAGTACACATTTTTTCCAGATGTATTGTCCTTTTAAATATTTATGTCGTTAACTAATATTGAGCGCCTAATATAATTGAATTTCCAGTTGTATTCAAAGTTCCATAACGGGGAAAGTTATCCCAATACTTTAACATTTTAGAGTATATAAGGTAACTGTATAGTTACTTTGCCTAGTAACTAATTGTGGTGAATAGAGGTTGTTCTTTCTAGTCATTTATTAAAATGATTTGAAGAAGTGGGACTTTAAATAAATCCATAAGCTCCCAGGGAACCATCCATATAAGCCTTCTCTTCTGGATTAGAGTGATGCTTCGATCTTAAGATGATTCCATTAATCTTGAAGTGGTCAGTTACCAGAAATATACAGTGGAAGACCGAAACAAGCGTACAAAACGTATGGCACTTTAGAAGCAAAATATGAGACAAGAATTAAAAATGCAGCTGTATCTCTAGTTTCTTCCACACCGTCAATGCTGTGCCTGAATGCCTCTGAACTCCCCTTAAAGGAATGTGCTGAAATCCCTTAAGGCTCATTGTCTTTGTCCTGTACGTTTTCAGACAGCCGATCAGCAATACCAGGAGGCTTTCAACGCTGAGCTCGATGCCTTCAAGGAGCGAGTTAGAGGAAGGGCAAAGATCCGCATAGAGAAGGCCATGAAGGAACTGGAAGAGGAAGAACGACAGAAGCGTCTGGGTCCTGGTGGGCTTGATCCTGTCGAAGTCTATGAATCTCTACCACCTGTAAGTTCACAGTTTTATAACCTTGTTAACCTTTTCTGCCTCTTTAGTTTGGCTTAGATTCTTGGGGTTTATAAAACATAATAATTTTTTTAATGCAGGAAATGCAGAAATGCTTCGATGAAAAAGACATCCAAATGTTGCAGGATGTCATTACCAAAATGGACCCAACGGTAAGTTATTTTTACAATGGACATATTTTTAACTCCGTAGGAGCATTGTTTGCATTTTGACAAGTTTTGGATTGCAAGTAATTCTTCTACATAATCCTAGGAGGCAAAACTTCACATGAAGAGATGCATCGACTCCGGGCTGTGGGTCCCTAATGCCAAGGCAGAAGGAGAGGGTAAAGATGAGGAACCCACCTATGAAGAAGTGAAACAAGTGCAGGAAGAAACAAAGCAGGAGTGACAAGTCTAACCCAAATGATTCATTGCACCCACTGTATTGCAGCTCCATTGTGTGTACATTTAGGTTGCAAAATAAATAAATTAACTTCTCTTAATATGTTTTGCTGAGATCTTGGAGAGGAATGTTCAGTTCCAACACAATTTGGAGGCATCAGGAACCCTGCTTGGACATTAAAGCTGCTCAATGTGCTAAAAACTCATCACTGAAGCTGTTTATACACTTGGATTAGGTGTCTGCTTTCTTTGTGCTGGTGTTTCACACTTTTCAGGTTGTTTTTTTTTTAAATGCTAGTTTTCTACTAACTTCTTGAGCTTAAAGTTGTATTACGTCCACTCTTCTAAGACTGTCAGTCTATGCTTTCTAAGTTGATCGTAAATTTAAAAGGACAGAAGCCTTCTAATAGTGTAAGGGTAAAAGACTTTTCCTCAAGTTAGAATGACAGCCTGTGTTTTTGTAAACTTAAATTCCACATTTCCTTATTCCTCTTACATATTGTAGCCAAAAACTTCATGTCTGCTTCTCAAGGTTTGTTCTTCACCAACCATATGTTGAAAGGCTTGAGTGAGTGTTCATTTAGTCCAAAGACCTATTAACGTGCTTAATCAAATCATGTGGCACTGTGAATGGATTCTCAACTTTAACTCATGCTTTTATTTTGACAACTGATCTTCCCTGACATTTGCATGTTGTACCCCATGTTTTGGAATACACTTATGTTTATGATGGCTTCATTTTACTCTGAAGTTCTTAATTAAAAGGAATCCCTGTTAAAAATGTTGGCTGGTTCCTCCAGTAGTGCTAGTAGTGCTAGTTTGGAAAGACCGGAAAAATAGACATGGCCCAAAAACATGGGCCTAGTTTTTCCAGTTAAATTATTATGAATGCTTTTTTGTTTTTTTTTCCACAACAACATACTAAATAGATGGATGACAGGTGGTGTAAGAAAGCCTGACCAAAATAGCTGGCAGATTTTTTCCCAAAGCTGGATATTTATCAGCTGCAATGATCAATTTAATTCAAGCATTTAAGGTACCTTGACATGGGCTTCATAAAAAAAAAAAACAGCAGCAGGACTCATAGGCTGTATGTTGTACTCTTAACATACCAAATACATTTTTTTTGTTACTACGCTTTCAATTTTAGGATGAATACTTTTAAACAGCTCCCCTTGCACTTCAAATTTGTAATTATAATTCTGCATAATTAGTTATTGTCCTTCCAGTCATTCAATGAGATCTAAATGGACCAATTGAACATACTAGTATACTATATGGAGGCTTTTGTTTACGCTATGGTGTTTTCTTAGACACTTCTTGTATAGATTTTTATGCACATGCAGTTAAGTCTTAGACTTAAACAGATATATTTTGTCATTTTGTGAACATGAATATAAACGAAAAGAAATTTCATTAAGAACAGCTCTCCAGACCATTTCTTTTTTTTTAAAGTGCAGGCTTGAAAACAGTAAAAAAAAATACATAACAGAAATATAAACATATGACTATATTTACAGTTCTAACATTTCAGTTTTTTTTTTATAATAAAATTAAGTCAGTCAATAATTGCAACATGGTGATAGTATTTTGTAATTAGGTCCAATTAATAGAGTGCATTTCATTAGAATGTAAGTCTAGTCAATTTAGTGATAAACGTGTAGCTATTATATTATAAACAGTGAGTAGCATGGATAGGGATACTGGTTGTTATCAGGATTGGTTTCTTGTAATCAATGAACCAATCCTGCACTGTGGACATAAGTTCAATGTCCAAACATTGACAGTTGTGTTGTTTTTCTGTTAAATTTCTCCTTATAGTCAGCAATAAGCAAAATTCAATTTTCTGTTTTTTCATGCAGCAAAAAAAGAGAAAAAGAATCAACTTTTGCCCACCTGAGTGCATGCTGGGGCTGGACCATAGGCGTCAGCAGACCCTTTTCACAGGGACGTGTGGCCCGTTGTGGATCTGCGATGCCTGGGGCACAGATTTTTTTAATTCATTAATTTTCCGCTTTCACAGCTCTGCTCTCACAGCGGAGTTGAGAGAGGAGAACTCTCCAAAATAAGCCAGTCACTATTGATCGAGAGCTTCACAAAAATGAAGCCGGCTTGGGACGCTCTCTCTCCCATCTTTCTGGCCATGACATACACACCTCATAGATCATCACCATCACACCATCTGAAAAAAAAAAAAGATAAATGCCTACATGTATGTATGTAGAGGTGTTCTTTTGTTTTTCTTTTTACAGCTGCACATCTCAAGTTTTCAGTTTTGAAGTTCATGTTATCAGATATTTAATGAAGATAAATTGTGCTTTCATTAGTAGTGGATTAGATATATATGATTAAGTTTGGTTCAGGTAGATATTAATGATGCAGAAAATAACAATCTGATTGTAGAATTTAATTATGACGCCTTATGATAATAAATAAGTGCTATAATATATTTGCTTGCGTGGTTGCATTAATTATCTGTGCCCATGCTTTTTTCAATAAATAATTGCCCCCAAAAATTTTTGCTCTCACACCTTGCGCACTCGCATTTTTTTTTTTTTTTTTGGTGCCCTATTGTGCCCCGGTATAGTTTTGGGTCAGCTGACGCCCTTGGGCTCTTTCTTCTTTTTAAGGCAATCACTCCTATATTTTAAATAGTGCACAGTGAAAGTATTTTTTTTATTATTGTTTTTATTTCTTCTTTTAACGTGTCTTGATTTGCCAAATGACCTAGACATGAAAGATTCATAGTTAAATATAATAAACTGAAACTAAACGGCTTGCTTCTGTGGGGTATTTCCTCGGCGCGTGCAGGGACCTGCCCACTGGAGGAGGGAGGAGGGGTGACGTTGCTTTCGGGAAGCTGCGTCCTCGCGCACCTCGCTCTCAATTCGCAAGAAACAGACTAAGAAGTGGTTCAGGGGAAATACGCACCGAGAAATAATGAAGCTTACCCGACGCTTCTCTGCGCCGTGCCTCTTTTAAACTAACTTATTTTCATCCACCTCGACATAAATGGTAAGATTTCTAAACGCATTTAAAGGGCGGTGTTTATAAACACGCAGCCTAATGTATTTCCTTATTATGACATGGCGTTTATTTTAATGGACGCTCGCATTTTCTCCCTCAATGATAGAAACTTTGTGATCTTGATGCATTTTTTTTTTATTTAAATAACAATGCGGTGTATTTACCTTTAAGGGTTTATGTTGTGTGTAAACAGTTTGACAAGTTGTAAACCCGGAAGGCCTCAAACCAGCATAATTAGGTAGTCATTTTGTTAAACCAGTGTTTAAGCTTTGAGATTGGAAAAAAAAAAAAAAAACGTGATAAGCAGATCGAAAGAGCTTATTTTAAGAGTTCCCATTTCCAGTTTCTGTTTTCTCTTCCCCAGTCTGTGAGAAAGCTGATGTCTACGTGACTGCAGAGTGCTCTCTCTTTCTGCCAGTGATCTTTTCCAACATGCCCAAAAAGTCAGGCTGTTTGAAGTCAGGGAAGATCCCAGGCCCACATGACGCCCCTCAGTCTCAGGGGATCCACGTCTACCTGTTCTGGACTAAAGAAGGGGAAAGGTATTTGTCTCACACCAGTGGTGATGTCACAGCAGAGGACCTTTGCATCACAGCTGCTGAGGAAATAGGTAGGTGAAAGCATGAGTTGAAAAAAAAAACAACAACAAAAAAACAAAACATGGAGGATATTATACTTCTTGTTTGGGATGTAACCTAAATGTCTCGTTGATAGGGATAACACCACTATGCCATGTCTTGTTTGCGTTGTACAACCCGCAAACAAAGTGCTGGTACAGTCCAAACCATGTTTTCAGTCCAGAGGAGAACTCCAGCGAAGTGGTTCATTACTGCATGAGGTCAGTCAGTTTTACATACCGCTGCAAATGCAATGCTGCTCTAACCGAATGAGTGACAGTGGCCTGTTATGCTTTTGTTTAGGTTCTACTTTCGGAATTGGCACGGACTCAATGAAAAGGAGCCAACTGTGTGCCGCTACACCCTCAAATCTGGGACCGATCAGACTGGTTCTCCTCTTCTGGATATCACATCCCTGGAGTATCTGTTTGCCCAGGTATTTAGTGAAAATATTATAACTTCCTTTGGGGGAGAATTATTTCTTTTCTTATCAAGTAAAGTGATCTAAGTTCTTTTCTTTCTGGTAAAGGCTAAGCATGAATTTGTGAATAATGTGGAAGAGCCTCAGTCGGAAGAAGAACAGAATCGTTTCAAAAACGAGAGCTTGGGAATGGCTGTGCTCCACCTGTCACACCTCGCCATACAAAAAAACTGTTCCTTAAAGGAAGTTGCTGGAAAAATTGGGTAATCCCTGTAATTCAAATAAAAACAGTGATTTAAATGGTTATTGCTGTCTTTGTCCTTATCTGACTATGTCCACCTTCAGCTTCCAGAACTGCATTCCAAGAAATTTTGCGGAGAACATTTCCAGAGACAACTTCCTGACTAAAATCAGGATCCGGCGTGTGTTTTCCGAATTTGTGCAGAGCTTCCAGCAGCACACTGTGGGAAAGGGGCAGCTGGGTCCCCACGAGATCATGTATAAGTACATCTCCACCCTGGAAAACTTGGTTCCCAGTTTTGGAATGGAGACTTTCTCTGTAACTCACCTGGAACTGAGGGAGGACGGGGAAGAAAGCAGCTCCTACTCCAACGTCAGCCAAAGCGCCGATGTGTCAAAGGATAGCTTCAAAGCTCCGCTTACGCATGAATTAATGGTGTCCGGCATTAAGGGGATTCAGTGGAGGATTCTGAAAACTCAAAAGGTCTGTTATCACAACAGACAGTTTACCGTTTGTATTCTGTAACATCTCCTTTCTGCTGTGTGGATGCTTCATCCTCTTTAATCAAATTTCTCTTGCTTTCTTGATCCAGGCGGAGGATAACTCTTACCACAGGAGTGGCTATGCGAATATGAAAACACCAAAACAGACTCCATCAAATCCTCCTGATAAATGGACTTCCTTCTGTGATTTCCGAGAAATAACTCACATCGCCATTACTGAAGCTAATGTTTTCATTAGCACTCAGAACAATCATTGCATGGTGAGAGTACTTTTTATCTTTCCATGCACGTGCCACTAATTTCATTGGTTAATGTGCATGTGATACATCACTTATGTTGATTTAGTTTGCATAATGCAATCAGCTGGGTAGATTATTCAGTTTTGCAAGAGTTGGAGCTCACTTTGTTGTACATGCATTATAATACAATTGTAATACTAGAGACGTCTAATAAAAATAAATGCATATCTTAATGAAGAAGCTTTAGGCTCACTGCAAATGCAAAAAAAGTCCAATCTTTGATTGGAATAGCTTTTATACAAGAAAAACAAATTTCAAAATGCATTTCTCACTTTAAATCGTGTGTACCTCAGCTGTTGATGACAGTAGTACTGCCGTACAACCCAAGAGAGGACTCTGTGTTCTCCTGTATTGTTTCACAAGATTGTGGCCTAGAGAAGTGTGGGGGGGGGGGGTTCATAGAGATGACCTAGTTTTGGTTTTCTGGTCAAAAACCAACATAAAACTATGGGTTGTTTATTTATTGTCCTTTAATATCAAAGATGTTAGAAAAAGAGGCCCGTGGCATAAATCTCCCTCACTTAACCTGACAACGGAGATTATGTGGCTGCTTATTTATCTTTTGTTTTATAACATCCCTATTTGGTTTGCTTGGTTCTAAAGAAATCTTAATCCTCTAAAGCCAAGTGTATCACATTTAATACTTACATTTTTAAGACTTCTGCATCATAATTGGGATGTTTTTGTGCTTAAAAACCCAGATTTACCCAATCAGACACATTAAGTGAACAGAAAATGTGTAAAAGATTACATAGAAATGCTTAATGTATCAAAATTGATGCAAATCAATGCTCTAATTTAACTTATCAAAAAATACGTTTTTTTTTTTATTTCATTTGACAGAAAGTTACTTGACAACTCTAATAAAAGAAATTGATTTTTCTGTCAATTATTTCACAATCCAGGCTTTAAAGGGTTAATGTTAGTGATAAAAGTATGAGGGCTCAAATCAGATTAATTGTGATTGATCGATTATTGAAGTAGTTGTCAACTAATTTAAATAATTGTCAAATAATTTAGTAATCAATTAATCGTTACCGGAGTATAGAAACTTGAGAATATGCTTTTAACAATAAGAGCAACCCACGTAGAGCTCTATTTATATCAAAATTGTGAAAAAAAAATACATGAACATTTAGCATTTAAGATACACAAATGTTTTTGCCTTTCAATATGCTCTATCCAGAACTCCTCACCTGGTTTATTTTAAAGTTAAAAACAACCCACTGGACTTTGTTTCCAAGTTTCAGGAAGTTTCTCTTCCCATCCAGGAAGCTTTTACAATTCAAAATGTGAGGAATAACGTTGAGTTTGATGTTTTATACAGTAGCTCAACAAAGCCTTGTTTTTGTTTTGAAAACATGCAAATTGGAACGGACAAAGGGGTCCACCACTTAGAAATTGGGGTTGTTTGGGTTCTTCTGTTAGGCTGCAATGCCGCATACCCGTCTAAGTGTCTGAAAGGGAGGTCGTTGAAGGGGACTGTTGGCCTGGCTGAATAGGCGAGATCCTCCACTCTCCTGTATGAGACTGAGGCTGCGATGATGGCGGGAAAGGATTAATTAAATTGATGCATTGTAGGTTTTTGAAGCTGAAATTTGAGTCCACCCCCTCTTTTTAAGGTTGGTTTTTCTTAATAACATAGATTACTTCCTTCACGCTCCTCTTAAACCACCTATTTTCTCTGTCCAAACATTCTGGTCCTCAAAAGAATGTCCTTTGTCCATAAGGTGTAGATGGAAAGCAGAGACTTGTCCCGAGGAGACAAGACTCTGAAATGATGTGTCTTACTCTTGTCAAATATAGCATGATTAAAATTGAGTGCCTTTGCGATTTGAAAATAGCGCTTTGTTGAATTGTGATCATAGTGCAAATGGAATCATTTTCAAGCCCTAATCTTCACTGGAAATAATATGGACACCTTGGAGTTGCTCAGAGTCTTGACTTAATTGTTGTAAATATAAAGGAAGGTAAAGATGAGGGTATGGACAAGGATTCCTTTCACAAATTTGGAGCTTATCCCAAAGAAAATCTTTAAAATACCAGTTGATACATCAACGAAAAATTATCCTTGTTAATTAAAATGTACTTTAAATCTAGATTCTTCAGGGGTATTCATTTCTGGCTTAATTGTATGTATGTTAGTTGAACTACTTTCTTTACTTCAGTCTCCCTAATATTGATGATAAACAAATCACACTTATGTTTTATTTTTTTTAAGTGCTTCAGGTACTTTGCTTTATAGAAATCTTTACCACAGGTGCTAAAGGTTTAGGGATGCTATAGGTGTACTTTATCTGTTATGTAACTGTGACTAAGTGCTCTGGGTTTGCTTTTGGCATTCTTTTTTTATTATTTTTTTTAAACTTATGTCTTCAGGTGAAAGCTCAGTCTATGATCTAGTGGTGTTTCTGTATGTATATGTAGGAGGTACAGATGAACTCCAGCCAGGAGGCCCGCTCCTTTATCTCCCTAGTAGATGGCTACTACCGGCTGACTGCAGACGCCCACCACTATCTTTGTCATGAAGTGGCTCCCCCAAGGGTGGTGTTGAGTGAAGCAAATCTGTTACATGGACCTATGCAGTGAGTTCTCAGCTCTGATCCTGGCATAGTCAGACACAAACTGCTTATAAAGACAGTTATATCATTTGGTTTGCTTGCAGTGATGACTTTGTGTTACACAAGCTGAAAAAGGAGGCTGGAGAGGAAGGAACTTTCCTCGTTCGCTGGAGTGCCCTCGACTATCACCGCATTATTCTTGCTGTGCTAAACAGAAGCGAGGTAAGGCAACACCCACACTCCTCTCTGGGAAATCTTGCAGTGCAGTGAGGCTCATCGTTTTCAGATTCTGTATTTACACCTCTCTTAATACACAGAATGGTTCCAAAACAAGCCACAAGCAGTTTCGCATCCAGCAGAAAAAGTCTGTGTTCTGCATGGAGGGCTGGGACAAAGAGTTCCCTACGGTCAAGGAGCTCACAGATAGCCTCAAAACCTATGTGCTCAAGTCGGGGTCAGACAGCTTCACTGTCAGAAAATGCTGCTTACCAAGACAAGCAGGTTTGCACGTTCAGTGTCCAAAAATGTTGTACTGTAACATGCAATCAACGTCACAGAGAATTAAATTTTTTTTTTTGTTTCCCTCCTCCAGAGATCTCCAACCTATTGGTGAGAAGGCAAGGCATCGACCAACGTACCCAATCTGACTGCTTCCCCCTGAACGTGACGGAGCTTCGCTTTCACCAGATCAAAGACAAAGAGATAAAACAGGTGATCACATTTTCTCCACCTCCGTAATAAAGCATACCGTTCGTTTCCAGATCTGTAACTTATCAGGTATGCTGCCTCCTGTGCTCACATGCAGGAGCAACATTTGGGCCGAGGCACAAGAACTAACATTTACGCAGGACGTTTATTGTTGCGGGAAGGAGAAAACGACGAATTTAACAACAACAACCTGTCACAAAGCAAAGGGATCCCGGTGGTTCTCAAAATCCTAGACGAAAGCCATAAGGATATTGCTCTTGTAATTATCTTTTTTAAATCTAAGCATCAGTTTAGAGTTTTTATTGTGTCTTTTATTTTTATTCGTGTCCCTTTTTTTCCCAATCTTAGGCATTTTTTGAAACGGCAAGCCTCATGAGCCAGGTATCCCATGCTCACCTGGTGTTTGTGCACGGCGTGTCTGTCAAAGGATCTGAAAGTAAGAGCAATAACCCTTCTGTCCACATGTGTTTAATTCCTATTTTAATGACTTCCTCATTTTCTTCCCTTTAATAGTAAAGTGTTCAGTGTTTGTAGTCAAATCTTTGAAGCTAACACCATGGTGAATGCAAAACCTTGTTCTAGTTGTGTTTACATTTTTTGTTGCATTATAACAAGCTGCGCCTCTCTGACTTGTTCCTACCCGCACAGACATCATGGTGGAGGAATACTTGGAGTATGGCCCACTCGATGTTTTTCTCCGCAATGAAAAAGCATCCGTCACTGCTCAGTGGAAATTCATTGTTGCCCTACAGCTTGCGAGGGCTCTCAATTATCTGGTGAGTTTGAAACCTCTTTTTGTTTGTCTGATTGCTCGCACCCTTCAGTTACCATACATTTATTTACTGATTATCTTAAACTAACAAACTGATGCACGGAAAGAGACTTCTTCCTGTACTGATCTTCAGCAGCTGCCTTTGGAGGAAACATGTCTGTTATCTGGTGATATTTTAAGATAATTTATGTTAGCGTGTTTACTCCAGTCATAATGTTAAAGAACAGATTAATTTGATCAGATGCTGTTTAAAAAAATAAAATAAACAAATAAAATAGATCTATAGTGAACATTTAGCTGACAAAAAAGGGGCATAAGGACCAGGTGTTAAACCTTCATCTGCATCACAAAAAGCTCCAATTTTTAATTGATGTTTTTTTTTTTTTTTTTTTGCCTTAGGAGACAAAACGACTTGTTCATGGAAACGTTTGTGCCAAGAACGTTCTGGTTGCAAGGCCAGGTTTTGAACCTGGCTCTTGTCCCTTTGTCAAGCTGAGCGATCCTGGAATTGCACTGAATGTTCTCTCACGAGAAGGTCAGCCCCTGTAGCTTAAGAGGAATAATCTGATGAACAAGTGTCCATAAGCAAGAGCAAATGTTTTTCTAACTGCGAAGCACTTTAGGCAATTGAGTCAGATTAAGGAAACCGGAAGACCACTTCCTGTAGTCCTCTTCCTGTTATCTGTCTCTCATTACTCTAGTGTTTCAAGCTGTCTAAAAGAAAAAAATATGTCAACTCTGTTTTTGTGTTTTCAGCCACTCTGTTGTATAAATGTTTTTGATCTAGAAAAGGCAAAAAAATAGATATTTTAGCAACTTCAAAAATTCACTGTTTGCTCCAGTATTAGACGGTAAATAATCCAAATCCCTTTTCATGTGCTGTTTTATCATAAATAAATTTAACGCACAACAGAACGGTTGGATCGGATACCCTGGATTGCTCCAGAGTGTGTCGACAGCGGCGCTCAAATTGGAAACGCTGCAGACCAGTGGAGTTTTGGTGTCACGCTGCTTGAAATCTGCAACAACGGCGATCTTCCTATGAGCGGCAGCACACTGTCTGAGGTGGGTGCATGCTGGATCCTTAAGCTTAACTTCTTGTCCACCATCCAACTGTTCAGCATTTTGTTCCTTTTATTTTTCCACCGTCCATCAGAAAGAGCGTTTTTATCAGCAAAGGGGTCGCCTGGCAGAGCCATCCTCCCAGGAACTGGCCGAGTTTATCAGCATGTGTTTGACGTATGAGCCTGACGAGAGGCCGTCATTCCGAACTATCCTCAGAGAACTCACAACACTCTTAAAGAAAAGTAAGTCATCAACTGCACACCTAATTTCTGAAGTTTACTTTGAAAATTTTCAGCACAGTTGCCAAATAAGGGTGATTTTTATCCACACAGATCCTGATATACCCACCATTTACACTCTCCCACCTACTGACCCCAGCGTGTTCCAAAAGCGCTACCTGAAAAAGATGAGAGACTTGGGGGAGGTGAGCTGCAGCACTGCCAGAAAACTTTTCCATCCCCATCCGTTCATAAAGTGATCATTCTCACTCCTCTGTCTGCAGGGACACTTTGGAAAAGTCACTCTGTACAGGTACGACCCGTCCAACGACGGGACAGGAGAGTTTGTGGCAGTGAAAGCTTTGAAGCAAGAGGCTGGAAATGCAGCTCAGGGCTGGATGAAGGAGATTGAAATCCTGAAGTCTCTCTATCACTGTAACATAGTGAAGTACAAGGGCTTATGCCCTGATGCCGGTGAGCTCATAGCATCATCTGTTCACTTTAAATCTCTGTTAAAACTCTTGTTGATATTCAGTCTGCTCAAAGGTTTCCTGTTAACTGGTGTTTTGGGTCCGCATTCAGTAATTGAAAATCTATACTAAGCACACAACCGCTTTTGTTGAGTGGCGATTATATTTTAAGCTTTTGAGCTGTCTGCCTGCTGAGCATTTGTTCAGGTCATCTTTTTGAATGTAATAAAATGGAAAAATAACAACATTACTGCATTGTGCACTTACAGTAAGACAAGAGGTCCAGCTCATAATGGAATACCTTCCCCAGGGGAGTCTGCGGGAGTATCTTCCTAAACATAAAGTCAGTCTGGCCGATTGCCTCATGTTTGCTCAGCAGATCTGTCAGGTGAGTATCAGTGGTTGAATATTTAGTGCCTGAACTGTAAATTAGAGGGCTTTGGAAAAGTATTCATACCCTTTTGAGCTTTTCCATGTCTTTTCATAATGCATTTAACTGCAGTTTCATCCAATGGAGGAACACATAGTGTAAAATTGTACATGCATGTGTATTTGGCACCCTTTTTATGATGCCAGTGAATAAAAGTGTAATTAGAAAAGTTCACCTTTGTTGACTAAAATACCAATAGAAATGTAATTGTTCTGCGAAGTCCTCAGAGATTTGTTAAAAAAACATGAGGAAACAAGGAGCATAATGAAGACTAAGAAACCTACAAGATGGTTCAGACTTAAAGCTGTGTAAGTCTGAAAAAAAAAAAAAAAAAAAAAAAAAAAAAAAAAAAGCTGTGTAAGCTAAAGCTAATGTCAAATACAGAGAAATCTGTTCTTTTACTCTGCACGCAACAATAAACACCCACTTCTCACAAACATGGTTATGCATCATAGGCTTCTCTTCAGCAGAACCAAGTAAGCTATTTAAAGTTGATGAGAAGAGGTGAACCATGGAAGAAAAACTTTGCAAAAGACTCTGGTCTGGAACACAGTTTGTCCTTTTAAGAATAGAAAACCTTAAAGGTAAAGTGGAGGATTTTCCAGAATTTTTTAAAAACTTAGCCTCAAAAAAAAAAAAGCACATGCACAACCCTGTCCCCGCTCCCAAGAGGGAATGCCTCTTAAACGTGTGCAAGAGCATGCATGAGCTCATTTTTCCAGATGCACAGTCTGTTTAAAAGTTGCTGTTTGCTTCGCTCATACAAGCTTACGGTTTGCAATTTTTCCCCAATATAAAAATCACCACCGGTAAGTGAAAATGGGAAACTGATGATCCATACGGAAAAAGATCATCCTCCACTATACCTTTAACACACTGACAGAGCTAGAATAGATCAGAATGAAGTCTTAGATCCAAGCATATTGATGTACTTGAAGGTAGGAAAGTCCACATTCAGAATCCAATTAGGAATTAGTGACTAAACTTAAAAATTGATCTTCACTGACACTGTCCATCTAATTTGACATAATTTCAGCTATTTTCAAAACAAAATGATAATTTACTGATGTGCCAATTAGTCCAACTGTAATTGCAACAATATTCCTCAATATTGCGTTGCTCTCTTTTGAAGGGGATGGAGTACCTGCACTCACAGCGCTATGTGCATCGAGATCTTGCTGCTCGCAATGTTTTGGTGGAAAACCAAAGTTTGGTGAAGATTGGAGACTTTGGCCTGACAAAGTACATCCCGGAAGGAGAGATCTACTATCGGGTCCGTGAGGACGGAGACAGCCCTGTCTACTGGTCTGTATCCAAACAGTTTTAATGTGAAACATTTTGTATGTTTTTGTTCAAGCACTTACTTTTTCGTGTTTGAAACTTCTTAGGTATGCCATCGAGTGCTTAAAGGAGCTCAAATTCTCATTTGCATCTGACATTTGGTCATTTGGAGTTACTCTTTATGAGATCCTGACGCGTTGTGACCCCCGCCAGAGTCCTCCATCTGTATGTTATGACCCAGATACAAAAACTGTTGCAAAAATATTGCAACTTTGGTCTGAAAAACATGTTTATTTCCTGTGTGTATGTATTTTATGATTGTTTTTTTGTTTTGTTTTTTTTTGTAGAAATTCATTGAAATGACTGGAGACAATGAAGAACAAATGACTGTGATGAAACTCATAAAGCTTTTGGAGGGAAATCAGAGGTTGCCTCGTCCTAAGGATTGCCCAGATGCGGTAATATTATGTCAATGTCAGATTTATTTAAACAGGTGTAAAACTGCACCAAAGTGCTGTACAAGAAAGACAATAACACAAGTTAACAAAAGCAGAGTATTGAAACACTGCTTCAAATAAATGCAAAGGTATAAGAATGAGTTTCAAGAAGCGATTTAAATTGATCCAGGTTGTAGGCAGATTTAATTAGGAAAGGTAAATTGTTGCATGAAATAGGAGTAACAACAGCAAAGGCCTGATCTCATTTTCTTTTAAGTCGAATCCGAGGAACTGTCAATGGTATCTGGTTATTTGTTCGTAGGGTTCTGGACACAGACTTTAAAAGGTCCTGAAGATAAGGGGAAGCTAGCCCATTTAAAACTTTATAAGTTAATAAAAGAATCCTAAAATCTATTTGATAAAGGAGAGGGAGCCAGTGTAAAGAAGCTAGTATGGGCCTTATATGGTCATGCTTCCTGGTTCCTTTAAGAAGCCGTGCTGCTGCGTTCTGGATCATTTGTAGGTGCATCTGTGGTTTATCCATGCTTCTTTATAATTAATGCAATAATACAAACGAGACATAATGAAGGCATGGATAAGTCCTTCAAAGTCCTTAAAACAAAAATTTGATTTAACATTTGCTAAAATCTGGGCTAAAGAACCAAGAATCACATTAATTAGCCCCTAATAAAGATCATATTATAAAGGTGCAACAATATTAAAATTACGTATCATGTGTAAAATATACACAATTCTACATTGTTATGAATATTAGTACATTTTTGTCCCAAATCATCATAGAAGTTGGCATAAATGAAACTGCAGCATGTTAAGTTTCTGTCCAGTACAATGCATAGTCCACCCATTATTAAAGTTGTTACAAGCGTTTCTGCTAGTGTCCTTTGATAAGATGAATAAATTTGACAACTGAGAATTATTAAATGAGGTCAAGCACAAAGCTTAGCCTGCAGCTCAGCGTTCATTGTGTTTCTATGAACAGCCTAATCGGCTTTGAGACGTTATTGGAACATCAGAGTAGTTTATGTTTAAGTCTTGTTTTATTGTGTTAGTTTGCACAGACCCTTGGTTACAATTCAGGTTATCCAAGAAAATCAATGAACCATATTTTATTTAGGATTTGATACTAGGAAGCTGAAGATATGATTAAAAAAAAAAAACCTTCCTTGCAAAGTTATAAAAAAAATTTGAAATTAAAGAAGTTTACTTTTTGACAGTTAAAACAGCTCTTATATTTCACAGCTTAACGCTTGTGTCTGCTGTTAAGCAACCAAGGTAAAAGATGATGGAGTACTAAAAAAAATATCAAAATGTAGAATCTAGACTTTTTTCTCTCTCTTATTCTCCAATGAATTAGCCTCTCTAAACTAAATGTATTATATTGAGAAAAACCTCCATATAGATCATTATATGGTATTTCTTTCAAAAATGCAATGTTTTTTTAAGGATGGCTCAGAATTTTCACATTTTCTTTGCCCTTTTACAGATAAAGTTGCTGATGGATCAGTGTTGGCATGCAAATCCTGATAGTCGGCCTTCGTTCACCGAACTCATCGAAAAGTTTGAGTCCGCACGATCAATGTTTGACTGGAACTTCAGCCCTAACTTCTCCATGTCTCAGATATGCTGATTAGTATCAGCGAAGATCAATCGCAATAGATGGTGTTGCAAGTTGTGTCACTTCAAGTGTATAGTTTTTGCTGTATCTATGTATAATTTTGCTTTTCAAGACATTTAAAGCTGTAAAGCACAGTCATATGATGTGATGTTGGTAATACAATTAAAAACTCAGACATTTGTTCTCTACGTAATTAAAGATCATGTTTAAAGTTAGACTTTTAGTGGTACTGAAATAAGCATCATTTGTCGGCGCTATAAAGACTTTCAATTGTCAGGAGGGTTTCTGTTTCGGCTGGCATTTCTGCTCTTTATTTTTATTTTCTGTAAATTTTACATGTATGTAATCTTGCATTGCATTTTATAAATATAACTCGAAATCAAATAAACCCTTTTCCACCTTTGCTTTTGGTACAGCTTGAATACACTAAAAAAAGACTGTTAAATTAAAAATAAGTTAGGATTTCACATTACATTCAATTTGTGGTTATAAATCCCAACACGGGGCAGATTATCAAAAAAAACATTTAAAGGCAACCAAAAGAATCAATAATGTCCTGTTAGGGTATATGTTTAAACTATTTAAACTGCTATTATTACATTTATGGTTATAGTTGCACATTTTATACATATATTAGCAGCCAAAGAGTTGCTTTAAGCTTTTTCTGATTAAAAGAAGTGATTGACTGTACCATATGAGGACATGCAGTTCAAATACTGAATTAAAACTCCTAGTTATGGTACCACTGCATAATGAAAGCATAAATCTGAAAGAATACCAGACCCTTTACTAATACTAGGCTAGAAAACCTTTAACAATTTAAGACTTACTGTTTTTTGTAATGCTTTTAATTATACTGGCTATTTCCCAACTGCATTGCCCCCTGCAGGCACTTAAATAGTCTTACATTTTTCCTTGTTTTAGCATTTAGTACTGATCCAGAATGCAACAAAATTAAGATTTCTGTTCTGTTTCTTATAGAGAAACAAACGTATCCCACAGTATTCCCCTGTTATCACTATAATGGGGAAAGTAGATACCGTATATTAAAAAAAAAAAAACGTCCAACCATAAGCAAAGGGAACATTTTATGTTACAAACAGCTTTAATTCCCCAGATTGGCCGTAAGTGGATTTCAGCAAATCTGTGTGGTATTTACTTACAAAGAAAGGTGTAGCTGTCAAAAAGTGGAAAACTTTCATCAGTTATGGATTTTACCCTGGCTATCCTGTTGTGGTTAGAGTACAGCCCTGTGAGATGATACAGATTGAGTCTTTTTGAACCTCCTAACCACTGATTGTTTTTGTGTGTGTGTGTGTATTTTGTTAGTATGTCTGTCCATTGCTCTGAAACGTGGAAGCTTCTTTCAGTGTTTTCAAGTTTTTTGAAAGTGAAGTTTAAAACCTGGAAGACAAAAAACAAAAAAACAAAGTTAGGAGTAAGCATTACATTTTATTCTTGAAATTCAATCATTAAAAACATTAGCTTTTTTAACCATACAGTATTAATGGTGAATGTCTCACAATGTTCACTTTATTAAAAAAAATACTTCTGAATAGATTGCACAAAAAAAAGGAAATATCTTGGAAAATGTGATGAGCTATCAGAAATGTATCTCGTGATTAAGATTATTTGAGGTCTGAAAAATGGGCTGACCAATAAGAATAGAAGAATGAAAATCTGTGATACTTATCAAGTTCAGCTGAGCAGAAGGTTGTTGTTTTTTAAAGAACCAAGCAAAAAAGCTGATCACCTTCAAGGCACTCCACAATTATACAGTAATTTGTCCAAAAGGGGATCCCATTTGACATTTCTTTGTTATAACTTTTTCTAATTGAAACAGCAATGGTTTTGGTTTTCATAAGCTGTAAGTCAACAAAACAAACAGATAAGACACTTAAATAAAAGTGAATTAAAATATTATTTTTAAGTGTTTCACATTTAGAATTGAAATTTCACATTTAGAATTGAAATTTATATATATAGTTTTTTTGTTTTTGTTTTGTTTTTTTATAAAACTATAATATATCTAGGTTCGGGTCTAAGTTTCAACAGTCTGTGAAGACATTGATTGACCATCCAAGTTTGCTATTTTCTTATTAATTCCGTTCACAGCTTGCCATACCCTTAGCGATGTGCCAATCAAGAGTGTTGCCCCGCCCCATAGCACGCTGCGTCGTAGTCATGGAGAATGCATTTCTCGCTCGTCCAATGGGAAGCGTCGCTGGACCCATGTGTGTATTGTTTAAACTGCTCAAAATCTGACCGACTTTCAAGCCTGATTAAACCTCTAACAAACAGCGGGTATGGCGGCTGCCGTGTCTCTCAGCACCACCTCTGGTACCGATGAAGGCTCAGACAGCGGGCCCACTCTTACTTCTCGACCAGTTAGTGCAAACCAAGACCTCGCTACCGATAAAGGAAACTTCATGGCCCGTGATACCAACTTCTACCCCGAATTCGAAACTGGGGAAGGAGACGCCACATCGGGCCGTGAATGTCAGCGAAGAGTGGAGGAGGATTTGACACCACTGAGCCTAGGGGACATTGAAAGCCGCCTGGAGAGGACCCGCCGGGAGTTTTACAACCGTAGAAAAATAATAATAAAAAATTTACCCCCAGATGTTACAAATCAGGTAAATGTGATTAAAAAATTGGTTGCAGTTTGAAATTTAGTCAAATTTTAACCCAGCTTCAATATGTCATGCTATAAACGTTAGCATAGGGAGCATTTAATTTATGCTGACGTGATGTGTTAACTTAATCTGCAGCTGTTTTTATTTTTTGTCAAAGAGTAATAGGTATTGTCCGTGGCTGTAAATGGGTTGTATAACCCGCGAATGTTCAAAAGGGAGGTAAATTAGGGGAGGTTACGGATGAGGAGATAATTGTTTGGTGGTCATCTGTGGCCTTTTGGCCTATCTGTGGCCATGATGTAGCCATTAGTAAATGCTTAGCAACTTTAACTTTTGGTTTTCCTAATTGAAGTTAACAAGACAAGGGACAGCATGTTGCTTATCTTTTACTATACCACCTAGCTGCCTCCGTCACAGTTCTTTTGTACTTTTTGTATATTTACTTATGATCTTTTTTTTTTTAGTTTGGAACGTGCCTGACTCTTGGGGAGCAGTAGGCCTCCGGGCAGTACCATTGTTCACAGTAGGGGGCGGGTGAGGGACAGTGAGTTCGAGTACGCTGCCCTATAACAAAAGATGGAAAGGGTGGAGACAAAAAGAGTCAGAAAATGCTAGAGAGCGTCAGTATTTGTTGGTGAATGGGCAAAAAAAAAAAAAAAAAACGATGCACAATTTCTGCCTCAACAATGAAGCAGTTGTCCCCCCCCCTTTCTCCCCACAGGTGCGCTGGTTTCACTGCGGACGTGAAAGGGTTAACTGCCAGGCTTAAATTCTCAATTTAAGGACATGTCACAGATTAATTTTCAGGACAGAACAATAGTTAATTCACTGTCGACCTGTGTTAATGCATGCATTTAAATATGTTGTGTAATTAATGTTATTTATCTCAAATATATATTCACAGGAGGTCCATGAGCTGTTGGGAAGCTATGATCTGAAGTATTGCTTTGTTGACAAATACAAGGGCACAGGTTGGTTTTTCTCTTCTTTTCCCTGTAAATGATACATTTAGGTTTAACCAGTGCTATAGTCCAGTGGATCATATGTGTTTGGACACATTTTAAAGGCTTAAATTCTAAGCTACTTCTATCAAACTTTAAAAGAATTTTGAAATTTACCAAGGTTTGAAAAAAAAATATTCATAAACATTTTTCTTTGTTGCTTCCATTTTTTTTTATATTACCATAGCTTAAAATAATCATTAGCTAAAGATATCTATAATAGACTAAATTTTTACGAAGCATTTGTCCATAATATTATTAAGGCATTTAGATTCTTATTAAGAATATGGCCTCTTTTAAAGTCTTGGGTGTTAAATTTTAGCTAGGAATTAAAAAAGAGAAAAAATAAAAACATATTCAGACATTGATTAAAATTAGAGCTGAAACAATAAGTGGGTTAATAGTGATTAATCGATTATTAAAATATGGTCAACTAGTTTAGTAATTGATTAATTGTTAACTGGAGTATACACATTAAAACATGCTTTTAGCATTTTGCATTTAAGAAAATAAAATGTTATTTGTCAATATGCTCTATCCACAACTCCTCAAGTGGAAAAATTTTAGTTTCACCTAGCTTAATTTCGTGAAAAATCTTCAAGGAACCTTCTGCCTCCGATTACTAATCAAAAAAATAATCGACAGATTTATTGATTTGCAAAATAATCGTGAGCTGCAGCCCTAATTAAGTTTTCATTTTTCTTTTCAATGTGGGTGGCTAAATACAAAAACTTACAGACTATAAAGTTGCTAATTATACCATAAGGAAGGTCAGATCAGGCCACCTAATTGTACTGACTTTGTACTTCATTGATATTGTTTGAATATATTAATGCAGTTTTCAAATACCTTTTAAATAAGTAAACCTACCTTTTACCATTTACTAGTTTTGACTTTCAGCCCAACAAATGTAGAGAATCTAATGTCTTCTCCAGAATATTCCCCTCACTGTCTTTCAATCTTTCCTATTATGGTGAAAGACCCAATTTAAATGGTCAGTATGTTCCAGTAATTCATTATTATGGGAGTCATAAACTCGCTTTGTCACGATTTCCCACTGCTTTGTCATAAATTCTAGTAAAGCTGTTTTATCAGTTTCTCTGTGAGCTGCATCCTTAAACCAGAAGAATAAATTTGATAAAACAAACTGAAGCTCTCCAGAGATGCTTTTCTTTTTCCTCCCCACAGCATGTCTCTAGAAAGCAGGGAATAATGATATTGGGGGAAATGAATAGAAGGGAAAATCTACTTCTGATAAGCTATTGTAAGCCCATTCATTCTTTTCCACAATATTAGAAGTCTGTCACATTGGCTATAGTAAAGGTCAACAATGCCGTCATTTATGAGGTCTTGATGTGGCTGTCAGGGACAGGGAGTCAGTTGTCACTCACTGTGAGTGCGCTGAGGTTGCACTGGCATACGAGACGTCTCCTGACATTTTGCCATTTGCATCGTCTCTTATCTGATAAGCTTAAGCGAAAACGGCGTCACTGATGGCTTTGCCGAATACATCTTTGGATATCTGGTTTATTATAAGGCCACAACTAACAATATTTTTGCAAATCAATTAATCTGTTGATTGTTATTTTTTTTTTTTTTTATTAATAATCGGATAGCTAGATTCTTTTCTTTTTATGAAATTAAACCAGGTGAAACTCAAACTTTTCCGCTTGACAATTTCTGGATAGAGCATTTTGACAGAATACATTTTTTTTAATCTTAAAATATAAAATGTTTATATATGTGTTTTATAATCTTGGTATAATTACTGCTCTAAGTGGGTTGCTCTGTCAGCTAAAGGCATGTTTTAGAGTCTCTATACTCCAGTTACTTAATTAGTTGACGATTTTTGAAATAATTAATCCTATTAACTGTTTCAGGCCTAGCTTGTTAGTATACACCACATTCTAATCATATTCATCTTCCCATTGCAGCATTTGTGACGCTCCTCAATGGTGATCAGGCCCAGTGCGCCATTAAAGAGTTCCACCAGATCATGCTACGGGACCGGGAGATCTCTGTGCAGCTGCAGCCGACAGACGCCCTGCTGTGCATCGCCAACCTGCCCCGGGCCTTCTCTCAGCAGCAGTTTGAAGAGCTGGTGCGCCCTTTTGGCAACCTTGAGCGCTGCTTCCTGGTTTACAGTGCCTCAACGGGCCATTCCAAAGGCTATGGCTTCGTGGAGTACATGAAAAAGGACTCGGCGGCCCGAGCTAAATCCGAGCTGTTGGGGAAGCAGCTGGGCTCCCGCATGCTCTACGTCCACTGGACTGAAGTGGGCTCGCTGACGTACCCGCAGCTGCACTCCAAATGCCTGTGTGTTGACCGGTTGCCCCCCAGCCTCCTGACCGCCCAGGATCTCCGGAACGCTCTGGCTGACACCCATGCACCGGTTTTCTGTCAGGTGGGTTTCAGTGTGGACTATCTAATGAGGTCTCACTCAAAAAATGAAGATCATGTTTATGTTATGTTTATTTTAATTATAAAACCTCCCTCTGACATGTCTTTTATCTGGTTTAGATCAGATTAGTCATTTAAAGATGAGTGAATATGAAAGGCTGGCATGTTTATTAGAAATCGGTCCTGAGGATAATGGGATTCATGTGCTTTATGGGATCTGATAGTTGCTAAAAGGGATGTTCTAAAGGAGTCCTCTGTGCTTGATCTTTAGCACCTTTTATCTTTACCTGGGATTTATTAATATGCTCAACTCAGTTTCTATAGCAATAGGGCCGACTGATTTGTAAAGACCAACTGGACCGACTGACTCCACAGGTTGTCCTTCAGCTTGTTACTCTAGAATAAGAGAGGGAGGGAGATCTTTTATCCTCCCTGTAAAATTTTCCTTTGCTTCTTTCCTCCATTGTGAATTTTTTTAATTTATTTTTTGGTGCTTTAAAGGGAACAGATTTTTGTTTAGTTTTGTCCATTTTAACAAGAAATAGCTGACTCGTTGCTGAATTTTGAGGTGTTGTGGCCACATCTTCAGGAAAAGGGAAAAAGAATATTGGAAACAAAACAAAAGCCTGTTGATACAAAGACTGGCACTGGTGTTCTGAATTGTTTTTACCTTTCGATTGTTTATGTTCCCTCTCTGTAGTTGGCTCAGGGACAAGATGGAAGTTTCAGACGTTTTGCCGTTCTAGAGTTTGCCACTGCGGAGATGGCTGAGGATGCCCAGCGAGTCGGAGATGGCAGGCTGATCGGTGGGACGCACATCAGGGTGTCCTTCTGTGCCCCCGGCCCTCCTGGAAGAAGCATGCTGGCTGCACTTATTGCTGCCCAAACCATGGTATTATGGCCACATTTCACTTACATTACTTTGTCTGTCTTTTCCTGTTTTGTGCTGATTTTGTGTTTTGGTTTGTTCCTACCTACAAGGCTGTGAACAGAGGTAAAGGCCTCCTTCCTGATCCCACAGTCATGCAGATTCTCTCAAGTCTTAATAATCCTGCCACCCTCAGGATGCTGCTCAACACTCTGGCACAGGGACACAAACAGGGTAAGGTTTTCTTAGCCTTTGCTCTTTTCCTGATTGATTTTTAAAATGATTTTATATTTGTTCTGCTGCCTTGGATCTTGATGGCCTTTCTTTGCAGGTCTTCTTGGAGCCCCTCCTGCACTGCCGCTGCTGGCCAACCCTGCCCTGTCAGCTGCCCTGCTGCAGCTGCTCCTTCAGAACCAGGCCAAGGCCCAGCAGGTACCGATACCTCTTGGCCTCTTCCCTGATAGGATCTATCCTCCTGCCCCTTCATCTTCTGTTTGATTCATCTTCACCCCACTCATGCAGGCCTTCTCCTCCTCTTCCTCTCTGTTCTGCTTCCCTGTGCTATTAGCAAGCCTTTCTGGGAAATCATCTTCTCTGGGCTCAGGTGCTGCACAGCAAAGAAAAAAAAAAACCCTCTAGTGTTTGGTGTGAGTGATAATGGTGTGTGAGGTGGAGGCTGAGGCTTGATGGGTTCAAGCCTTTTTGGGTAAAAGGGTTTAGATTTGTCCTGGCTGGTAAGCTCTCTCTTGAAAAGTGAGGAATTTGTTATTTTGTGTGGAGTGATGCTGTGGGTGTGCTTTATATGAACTGATTTAAAAAAAAAAAATGTTTGAGGGGAAATATTGGTGAGTGAATTCCAGCACTGATTTAGTTTGCTGAGCCGTTTTTCTCTGAGCTTTCCAGCCAGGCTGAGTGACCCTGTGATAACACTGATCTGTCCTTGGGCCAGCAGGCAGGACTCATCGGGGACAATCCTCTGGCTGCTCTGCCCGTCCAGCAGGGAGTCCATCTGCTTGGAGATATCCCTCAAGGTTTGGCATCTTTTACTTCCAGCCTGAGCTCCCAGAGCCACTAATGACATGTTTTTGCTTTTCATCTGATTATAAACATCTGTATCCTCTAAATAATGCATCAACCTAGATTTAGGCGTCACCATTCTATACCTTTTGGCCTCTAAAATGTCTGTATTTATTGTGATATTTTTGTTGAACAAATCAAAGTGGAAACATTTTCTTTCATTGAGGTGGAAAGAAATATAGTTTGCAAGCTTTAAAAATTTCATGAAGCTCTGTTGAGTCACCTGTAAAGGTTTTTCACATCTGCAGTTGATCTTGATATTGCCATTAACCCAAATTAGCCAGTTTGATAAGAAGGGCAATAATTGGGAACAACCAACTTCATTGACCAGTTACTGCATATTAGCTTTCTGTTTCCAAGACTGGACCATTAAAAAAGAAAATAAAAAATTGTAGGCCCCCTTTTTTGCTCCCGATTCCAATATGTTAATTTTAATATCTGCAGGTCATACTTACACTTCTGATGAGCAAAGTTCTGTTTGCTTTAATGTTGTCATCATTACTGATGTCATAAACTGTTCCCTAAAACCATGTATATGTAAGAATGTATTAATTTATTTCCCAAAAGGAATCTTGAGATCAGTATATGGTCAGAAAGGAACTCATAAAAACAGCATATCATTGTGTTTACTAGGGTTAATAGGGTAATTAATAAGATTTTCACTATTCCGATTCCCTTATTGATTCTGTGAAATGATTCCATTCTCTTATCGATTCTGTGAAACGGTGAACTTGGAAAGTGCACAGTGACATTCAACCACCTTCACCTGGGACGTTCCATTTCTGCCTGCTTTGGCAAAAACAGAAGGCAGCGAAGGGGAGCTGCCAGCCTCTGAGCCAGCCAGGCTACCCGTATCGTCAGTCATCTAACTCTAATGGCGAAGGCATCCGTTTAATGAAAAAGGATTACAATTTGGCGAAATAGACTCATCTCCCCCTGATTTAAATAAACGAGCGTCACCTTTATCTCGCTCCCTGAACTATGGAGCAACTTCGTAGCCTTTTTAATAACCCCAAAGAGAGGTAGGAAACTTGTTTATTTTCAGAAATCGCATATGATTTACTAGGAACCACATTAAGCACAGGCAGTGATATAAAACTAGCTACTTACCATCAGAGTTGCCTTCAATGCTGGTCGTAACTTTAGCTTCTGTCCGAAAGCATCAAAAACAAGGCATTCGTTAAAATGTATGCAGTGTTGTGTGCGCAGGTGTTTCTGCATGTTTGATGTATTTCCTCCCGCGGATGTTATTGCCACTTTACGTCCAAACTTTATATCGGTTTACCCGATGGGATACCATTTTCTTTTTTTTGTTTTGCTTTTCTAGACTTAAGCCTGGTCACGTCGTACTTGCTTGATGAATGCTGTGTGTTTAACTTGGGTATTAAAGGTGACGTAATTTGCGTAAACACCATGACATAAGTGGTGCTGCTTTGAACCGTTAAAAGAGAATCATCAAGTGTGCTCCCAAACGGTGCCATGGAATTGGAACACACAAATCGAAGACTTCTACTTGAGGCTCAAAAGTCAACCCGGATGCAGAGTTTGGAGGATTTTTTTTAAGCCTTCGAACTTTAAACATTTGGTGTTTGCTGTTAGGGTGCTGACAGGGTATGACCCCGAGAAAAAACTCTATGCCAGAGCATCACTTGCCCTCAGGCTTAGATACCACCTTAAGAAAATCTGCAGCATCATTGAGCGCAATGCCCAGGGTTTTAGCGATACTAAAGCTATGAAGTCTTGTCAAATTTTCCTCTCCTTGTATCACAAAAAAATGACAAAGCAGAAAACCTCCTGTGGGTTATTGAATATCAAAGACATTAAGAGGGGAAAAAGCAAATGAGGTGCCATCTGTTCAAGATGTGAAACGTCTGCATTACTATCTGGAGACGGTTCATCAGGCTACAGACAAGAAGCTTCGTGAGAAAGAAGATGTGAGGACTTTGAGTTTTCGATTCCTATCCCTAGTGTTTACAAGATGAATCCTGAAAACAAAAATATACAAATCTAAGTTTTTAAATGGAATGTATTGATAAAATCAAAGACGGATGCCCTGCCATATAATAGATTTTTAACCCAGATTAAATTATAAAAACAGACTATATATCCACTCCGACAGATCAGCCCAATTTATGACATTGAAATAGAATTTTCTTCAATATCTGTACAGACTTTAATATTGGGTTCTGCACCTCTAGTCATTTGTAATTGAATAGTGTTTTTTATTATTGCAAATTACTGTTTGAAGCATAGCTGTTGTATTAACTTGCATGTAATAATTTATTTTGTAATATTGTATCTGGGTAAAATTTCTCAGCAGCAGATTCTAACGCCAGACATGAATGTTATTCCCCAAAATGCTAAAGGTCACAGGGAGCAAAGATTCGCTAAAAAGAAGAAAATGAACACATTGGAAAACATTCTATTTTTTTAACTCTAAAATTGCTCCATGAAATGAAACTCTTCCATCAGCATTTTTGTTTTACATTTAGTGACTGGATGAACACTTAATGACTCATCTTTTTCTATTCTTTTTAAGTGCATAGAGCTTTAAATCAGAATGAACTGAATGTGTGGTTCTAAAATAGAAAACTTACTGGTACAATTCTTTAAAAAAAAAAAAAAAAAAGTTTTAAGGATCTGTCTTTAAAAAAAAAAAAAAAAAAAAGTTTTAAGGATCTGTCTTTAATCCAGAAGTCTACATTTCTAATTTGAAAGTAGGTCTGTTCCACAGTCGGAAAATCTTTAACTTGTTTCATTATTTGTGGAGCCTATAGATAAAACCCTACCACTATTGAAGTTAAATTAAGTACATAAACCTTACTTTTTCTGAAATCTGATGGTAATGAAGAGCTGAGATCCACCTCAGGTTGGCTTTCCATTCGCCATTTTTCTTGCCAACATTAAAGCCTTGAACTGCAGAGCCAATGTCTGTCAGTTCTTTCAGCAGATCCTCCATCAGAGGTTTGGTAGAATCACATAAAGATGCACAATTTGCTTCAACTGCATTTGTTTTGTTGGTCCATCACATATGATCACATTTCCACACATTGTTAAAATGTTACATGTGACAGGATGGAGCCACAGATATCAGAGTATTAATTTTTTTCTTAAAGTCCAGTACTTCTGTAGTACCTTTTTATTTGTTTGCCAGCATGTATCCTAATTGGTATTTGGTGGGGATTGATGTTTCTGTAGGTGGTGTAGTCCCAGGCCTGGGTCTGCAGTCAGATGGTGTGCCCTCACTGAAACCAGCGCCGCCTGGCAGAGGCCCGACAAGGGAGCAGGATTCCCCCACGTCGGCGTGCAGCTTCCCTCAGACACCTTCTCCCACCCTACCAGGCATTTCCTTACCCCTGATGGGTGGCATGATGGGGGCAGATGGTCCCGCAGCGCAAGGGGTATGTTTCCAAATCATTTGCATAAATATATATTTTTTTTTATCTCTGAGCAAGAAGTAAATAAAAGCCCTTCTCCTCACTTCTAGGTAACTATGCTGGGCGATCTTCCTAAAGAGAGGAACCTTCCACAGAGTACCTTCCTCAATGTCAACAATGTTTTTCCTTCAGGTGAGATGATGTATATATTATTCCCCCCCACCCTCTCCTTACAGTAGATTTGAAAGTCTGTGTCAGGTGCTGAATCTACTCTTATCCTCCTCTGCCTCAAAAACAGCAAGTAGCAGACCTCACCCCTACAGGAAAAGACCAACACTAAGTAATGTGTCCAATCAGCACATGCAGCCGAGTTATAACCTCCGCTTCCAGGAATCCTACAGCTCACAGTATCCTCCTCTGCACCAGGTTACCATCTTTTACTGTCTTGTCGGTTGCGTTTGACATGAATAGATGATGCTTCACTACTTCTGGGTGTCCTTGCGCATTATTACCCAATTACTGCTTGATATGATGTAATCTGGTCTGATGCCCATCTGCTGCTTCTCCTCAGGACGCCTTGGCATACTTGTATGAACAGCGGGAGAACCTTGATGTCGGCGCCTTGGCAGGATTTGGTCAGCAGGTAGTGCGTGTTTGTGTTAATCCGTGTTCTGCCTTTTTTACACTGGATCTTAAATTGTTTTTTTTTTACCATCCAGGTAAATTCATGGCCATTATTAGTTAATTTGTATTTTGTTTGGATCTCCACAGCTTCAGCCAGACTACTGCGAACCATTTTCTCAAAGCACTTATCCAAGCAGCGCACCCCTCTCCTCTTACTTCAGCTCAGGACCGGAAGCTTCCAGCAATGGCCCCCTCCCTTCAACCCACCTCAACAAGGTAATCAGTGAAACTTGATTCGTTTCCATTTAAAGCATTGATTACCCGTCTGTGCTTGGAAAAATAAAAGGAGGGAGTTGGGGCGTTTCATGATCACACTTTTAAGAAGAAGTCAGTAAGAAATGTTTGCCTACAGGCTGTTGGGATGCCCCCTGGAAGCCACGGTGCCCACTACCCTCCAGGCCTGGGGAATGTTATGAAGGTAAGTGGGAGATTACCTTTTCTCCACGTGTGTTGGACCTACAAGGAACTTTTCTTAATCACTCTTTTTTTATTATTATTCTAGACGCCAGCAAGCAGCCAGAAGCGTTTATTTTCCCGGCTGATCCCGTCTCCGGAGCCAAGCCCAGAGGGAGGCTATGTGGGCCAGCACTCCCAGGGACTCGGGGGTCACTATGCAGACTCCTATCTAAAGCGTAAGCGTATATTCTGAGTATTGAAAGTTTAGGTGTTTTGTATTCAGAACAAAGCAGCATGTCCTGCAAAAGATGCAAAGCCCCAATAGTCGTCCTTGGATTTACCTCTGCGAGTGACCCCTGGGGGGCGCCAGGGAGTGCATTCTGTTGTCTGGACAGTGGGAACTTTTTATGGTGTGAATTTAACTTGTTTTTGTTCTTCTCTGATCCATTTGTGTGTTTATATTTTTTATGATTTTACTGTTTTGTAAATTAACTTTTTAATTTTGAGCTTATGTTTATTTTGTACAGTGAAAAAAAAAAATTAGTAGCAATTGTTTTTTTGTTTTTTTCATTTTTTATGATTCATGCATGAAGTGTGATGTGCTAGCTAAAGGTTGTTTTGGCCAGTTAATGGTGCTGCTTCTGTCTACACTTTCCAAAGGGACATGAAAGTATTAAAAAAAATCTTTTATCTCTGGGTCTGCTTTTTTAAATGGCCTTTATTGTAAAAAGTTAAACTTTTTTTTTTTTTTTCTTTTTCTATTCCTACCATTTTTTTTTTCTCTGCAAAACTTGTTTCAGGAAGCATTTGTTTTGTTTTTTTCTTCTTTGCTCTACATGCAGCTTTCCATCCACCAGTGATAAGTTGTATGTGCCCTGTCATAAAACAGGGCTTTATGATTTTTGGGGACGTTTTCTGAGATTGTTTTTCACATTGTTCATCTTGTTGCTCCAACATGTCTCAACGGTCTGTTTTCAGCACTGGTTGTCCACCTGGGAGGGCACAGGTCTCTGTCCTAACCTGTTCTCACCTGTAAAAGTTTGTTTCTTACTCATCTCTACACATATCTTTATTTTTTCGGGGGTTATTACCATCAGGAAAAAAAAATTAACGACCACCTTATTGGTATAAATTGGTGGATGGGGAAGATGGGCTGATAAACTCTGGATGAGCTTTAATAAAGGAGGCAGCCTGTGTTTTATTCTGCCCGGAAACATGCTAATAGAGGCAAGTCCCAGATTAGTCTGTAACATGGCTGTCCCCTTTTTCCTTTAAGTAATTTATGGTTGACAGTTTGATTGTGAAAACCCATTACCTCTGACTTCTGCTCTAAAAGCAGCCATACTTGAGCCTTAATGTTGTTTTACGTTGTAATCACCCGATGCTGTTGGCTTCCATCTACTTTTTCCATTTATCTGCTGTGTAAATAGTTAAAGCTTGATTTCTTTTTAGAGTCCTGAACGTGCCATTTTTCCCCCCACACTTATATGCAGTCAGGTTTTTTTTATTTATTTTTTTTTTTGTTAATGAATGGATTTTCCTGGTTTTTGTTTTGGTTATTTCCTGTATGTTTGAAAAACTGACGTTTTACAGAATGGCTCCACAGTAGACTGTTCATGTTGTGTATGGACCAAGAGATGCAGCTGTTCTGTGTGCTCATAGGCTAATTATAAATGGTTAAGCGTTCACTGCTGTCTTCTCATCTTTACCACCATGATCGTCTCTGCATGTTTGTGTGATGTGTGCAAGTAAATGTTATTTAAAGCAATTAGAGTTTGACTGATTATTTCAAAAGTTGATAAGCTGTTTATATAGATGGAAGTAGCAGGAATTGAGGCATCGCTACATGTGTAATGCTAATCATTAATTGAAATTAGTGGGAATAAAATTATCTAAAAGCTCAAATCCAGTAGGTTACACTTTCCACTGCCTCTGCAAATGTTCAAAGTGCTAAGCAATGAATTTCTAAAGTGTTTTAATAGATGCAGTGTAGAAATATATCCAGAATTGGAGCATATTTCCCCAGTTTATATCTTTAAACATTTGCAGATGTGCAGACAGGTCTATAAACCCATACCAGCCTGTGATACTGAACTGATAACAAGCTAGGTGGTTCCCTCTTGACAGAAATTTTGATGTGACTGACTGAAAAAAAACAATTTGCTATCCTATCCAAGACTGTTTTTTTTAGCAAATCTTTGCACTAGAAAATGCAGCATTTCTTAGTCTTTTACTTTTTCTTCTGCTTAGCTTTAACAGAAACGCAGCTTCTGGAATCGTGTCTAATAGTGTAGACCAACCGCCCTTTGGAGGTAAAAGAAAACCCAAGCACTTTTATAAATTGTTTATATTTAATAAGTTATATAAAATTTGTTTAATACTAAAATGGTTTATTTCAGTTAATCCTTTCAGTCTGACTCTTATCTATAAACCTGCTTTTTTTCTTTTTACCACATTCATTGTAAAATGACATAAAAGGAAGCAATGAATAATTATTTACACACTAAAATCTTCCGACTTTTCCATTTTTACAGCAGAATCACAAATGGACAGGCCCCCTTCCTCAGGGTCTCAGTGCTGTCCTAGTGGGGTCCGTCATGCAATGGGTTGCTTATGTTCTGGTCTGAGGGCGGCTCGCCTTACAAATGCAACATGGCACCAGTCACAACAGGCCAACACAATAAATGAAATACTTTGCCCGGTGATCCACTGTTTGCCCTTGGATCTTCTTCTCTCCTGGATGAATGGCAAAGGACTGATACTGCTTCTGTCTGCTGTCTAGACTTTATGTGATGTTTATACATTTTGCTGCAGTCTAGAAGAATTTCCATTTGGCAGTTATTAAAGTAGAAATTTCGTTTTTTGTTAATATTGATTTATTGTAATTAATAGGTTTCATAAATTCAGCCTGTATTTTACACAACATACAATTTCAGGTTGTATGTCCAACCAAAATTGTAATGGTTCCTATTTCATAATATGTACAAGAATTGCTTCATTAATCTCAAACTAAGTTCTACATATTGTCTGATTCATGTGGCATTAGAAGGTTTAGGTATTTTTACTCCAGGAATCTGGATTCTGAGCTAAATCTGATCAGAGCTGCAGCACAAATAATCAGTTGCCATGAATAGTTACTTTTTTTAAATGCATATTTATTTGATCTTTTTTTGACAAAATTTTAATCTACTTTCCTTTAAAATCCTATGTGAAAGGAGAGTCATCGGGTTGAAGTAGGCAGCAGTACTTGTGTCAGTTTATGATTGCTTGATTCTAAAGTGTCTTACTGCTAAATTATACAACTTTTCACACAGTATTTCAAGTAAGGTTACAATAACATGGGTTGAAAGTCTAAAATGGTTCATTGTCAACTGCAGCAGCGTAAGTGTTGCGCTCTGAAATTGGACTTGAAGGTTCCTGCTTTGATGCCTCCCTGCTGCTGTGCACTCCCTCCCTGATACCAGGAGCTCTAGCAGCATTACTGCTGCTCACCATACTCACAGTTTTTACACTCAGTTTGTTATACTGTACCTAATATATCTCCTACATTTGGTGCTTTAGAAATAACCTTTGATATTCCTTATAGTCATAGATGTTCCTACTCGTGTATATATATCAATCTTCTGCAAATTCAGCACTAAGTCTTCATGTCATCATCAGTGTTCTATAATAAAAATGTGCTCCTGATCGACAGGTTCCTGTTATGCTCTTTTATTTTTCTTTATTTTGTGGCTCTCTGTGACAGACAGCATTAGAGAAAGAAAGAAGC